CCCTGAAGAGAATTTCCTGAAGAGAACTGGCAAGGAACCCAGCTTTAGAACCCACCAAATGACTTTATAATTAGGAGCATTTTAGAGACAGGAGACATCATGGTTTAAGGCTTTACATGAGGCAGGGAACCCATAGAGGTCCTGGCCGGGATGTGACACCTGCCTAAACAAAGAGATGTCCCTGTACCCTTCCCACTGCATTGTACCAAGACTCCCCTTTCCAGAGAGGCCAACTGTTCTCCAGGTAGACGACACCTGCTATCCAGCTCTAAAGTTAGAAACTTCTCTATAAGGACCAATGATTTTCTTAAGAAAATACCAAGACATATTAAAATCAAAAAATTTAAATAACTGTATAATTTTTAAAGACTCCATTTTATTAAGGGGTAAAGAGAGTGACTGAGTGTGAGAAAGGGACAGAGAGAGAGGAAGGGAGAGATAAGAGGCTGTCCAGGAACTCTGCTCTGAGTACAGTCCCTTTAGGCTCCTGACACAAGCGAGCAGGTGCATCCAGGATGCCCTGGGGAGACCGGGCTGGCCAGGGCTGGGGTCCCCGGCCCTGTCACTGCGTCCACATGCTGGGATCCTCACCATGAGGAAAGACACGTCATCCTCCTTCATCTCCATCTGCAGCCGCTCGATCTCATGGGCCAGCGCCTCAGTCTCCTCAGTGAGCTGTTTCATTTTCTCCTCTGCCAGCAGCTGCTTCTGCCGCGCCTCCTCAGCCATGGCCTCCAGGACAGCCTGCTCCTCCGCCCGCAGGAACTCCCGCAGCTTGTCAAACTCCTGCCGGATGCGGCTCTCCAGCCAGGCGGCCTCCACCTGCGGGGAGCGGGCGCAGGAGGGGTCGCACAGTGCAGGTGTGCAGGGCCTCGGCTGTGCCCCAGCCCAGCGACTGTCAGAGTTTTAGCAAAGGAACCACACATTCAAAAGAAATCATCTGTCGAACCCCTAGCGATAAAGTATCGATGTGATGGTTTATCAGCACAAACCTGTAAGTTCAAGAGTCAAGAGGGAAAGTCAAATAGTATAACGAGGCTGCTCTGATGCACGTTTTCCCTTCATCCATCCACCCGGGTTAATTGAACTTAACAGGAAAAGCATTACTCAAGCTGGAATCCTGGAGGCTTCACTCCTGACCATGGTACTTGGCCTCAGCAGAAAGCGTATGAGTTCTACACTGCCTGGGATGGGCAGACTGTGCTACCCCCTGGACAGATGGACTCTCACATGCATCCCCAGTCCAGTACCTCAAGGCGAGCCAGTTTTATGGCTTTGGCCACAAGATGAATCAGGTCAAAGGACTGAGATGAATCAGCTAGACAACTCCAGCACTACTACTGGGAAAAACAACTCCACAGGTGTCCTCAGCTATGGCAGGTTATTAATCTCATTTTAGATTGTAATTTCAGTGTATGTTGATGGCTCTGACACAGGATGACAGAATGATTCCTTGAAAAGTGAAATCATCTCTCAGATCAGTGAGTTGATCTTTAAGATATTAGAAATGCTGATGACTTCTCTCTGTTGGGCACTTACCTGCATTATCTTTCTTATCTGAATGTTTTGAAAAAATCCTAGTAAAAGGGAATTATCTTCTTTTTAACAGATGAAGAGATTAGCGTGGGTTGAGGCAATTCTCTGGAGCACTGGGCTTGCATTTGAGAACAGGCCTGCTTTGAGATTACTGCTCTGGCCCCAGTATTTCACCACCCTTTCTTCTGCTCTGTCCCACCAGCTCTTTGGCTCGGGGCAAACACCACAGCCAGATGTTAACGAGGCTCTTTCCTGAGCCTAATCCTCATCCATGGACACACAGGCACTGAAGGACACTGCAGGCTCTTTAGGGCAGTGGCCCATAGCCCCTACCACGTGTATCTCAGCTGTGGCTGAAACGAGTCCAACCAAGTGGTAAATTCTAGAAGCAGCTATCTCAGGAAGTGACAGACCAGAGCCACAGCAAATAGTCAAAAGCCAGGGTGCCAATCCACACAGGACTCAGATGGAGGGAGGACACAAAGGCATAATGACAGGAACGGGGACAGAGGAGAGCCCATTCACTTGCTCCATCAATAAACACTTTATTAATCACCAGTCAATTCATTCACTCAACAAACATTTATTGATCACCTATTGTGTGCCAAGAACTCTTCAAGATACTGGGAATAGTGTGCCCTGCTTTCAATATATTCTGATGGGAGGAAATAAAAAATAAATATAAAGAAAAAAGATAATTACAGTTAACAAAGTGTTAAGAGAAAAAGAAAAGAGATATGATAATGAGCAAAAGTGGAAGGCTATTTTGCATGGGGAAATCAGGGAAAGCTTCTCAGAAAAGACACCCAAGCTGAGATTTTAACGTTAAGGGACAGACGACACCAGGGTGGCAGAAGCAGGGAGCTCCAAGCCAAGGAGGAGCAGATGGAGTCGAGGAGGCACGTGGGGGTCAGATGATGGCCTCAGAGGCCACGGTAAGGAGCCTGGACTTATCCTGAGTGACGGGAAGCCACCGGGCAGTTTCGGCAGAGGAGTGGCACAGCTGATGCGCTTCTCTACAAGATCTCTCCAGTGTGTGGAGAGCAGGACGTGGAACAAGAGCGGAAGCAGGGCCCAGGTAGGCCAGGTGAGAGGTGAGGGAGACCTGGACCAGGACGTGGCACAGGACTGCTGGTGGAGTGGACATGGGGACTGAAGGAAGTAACCGTGGCCAGAACACCTGGGTGGATGGTGATGTGCGGCATGCACTGAAGTTGCTCTTAGATTGTAGTGCAGATGGTGTGGCGCAGGTGGCTTTTGAAGCTGCTCCCATGGCTGCTGGCGTGGCCTTGCCCAGGTCTTTGGAGAGGCCCAGGCAGAGCAGCCACATCAATGAGGCTGTGAAGGCCACCAGAGTTAAGGAGAGCCGCTCTGTGTCAGCAGCTACCCGTGGGTGATGTCGGCTGTGGCCAGGGCCGAGCTACCTTCACTGCTCCCCCACCTGCCCTGGGTGTCCCCGGTGTTCCCACTCACCTGGTTGTGCTTGGCGATGGCCTCATAGGAGCGCCGCATGGCCCAGAAGGCCTTGGCTTTCTCCCGCAGCGAGTGCTCCATGTTCCTGCACTTGGCCTGATGTGGGGACGAGAAGGAGGAAGGACGTTTATGGCTGGACAACACCACAGCAACAACTGGAATGCCACCTCAACGTGAGTTACCCCACCACACTCACTGAACCCGGTTGTGCCAAGAACCGGGGGTGCAGCTGAATGTTAAGTACGGTCCTGACCTGAACCAGACATTCACAAGAGAGAGGACCCTCAGGTATCCTCTAACCCAGCCACTTCGCTACACACCCCAGTGGGGGAAGGACCCTGTTCTCTCTCTCGAGACAGCACAGAAGGGCATCCTGCTCGGGTCTGGAGCTAGTCCAGGCAGGGCCCAGAATCCCTGAGCTGCGTGGACAACTCTAAAGGCAGTGCAGTCACAAGCTCCCTCTGCAACTTCTAAATTGAACTGGTCCATGGTCACTCAAGAGCAGGTGTGACCATGGGGAGTGCCCCAGGCATTCCTTGTAGGGTGAAGTCATTTCCCATGAGGCCTGGTCTACACATGTCCCTCCATACCCCACCTTATCCTGACATTCTAATATTGCTTGGATCACATGAAAAACTTTAATCATCAGGTTTAAATATTTTTTGTTTAGTAGTTTTTGTTTTTTAAAATTTAATTACTGTTTCTGATCTCCTTTGACTCCTTGAAGAGGCACTATGCGTTTCAGGTTGGATTCTCATGTTTTGTATCTGAGGCCTGTCATTTTCTCCCCATCTTTATCCTTTCCTCCCTAGATTCTGAGAAAGACTTTCAAGTTTTTTCTTCAGGAAAAAAAATAGGAATAACAATTCTAACAATATTAATTATAAATGACTACCGTCTACTGAGCACTTACTATGTGCCAGGGATGGTGTTAATTACTTGACAAATCATTTCACTTAATCATTGCGTCATCCCTGTTAGGTAGGTAACGTTAGCACAATTTTACAGATGCAACAGAGAAGCACAGAGGGGAAATGGCTAGCCCAAAGGCACACTGCCAGGACGGAGCAGAACCAGGACATGAACCCAGACAGCTGTGCAAGCAGCTGCTAAAATGGCTCTGGTGACACCCACCCCTGGTATTCATGCCTATGTGGAGTCCCTCCCCAGTAGGCTGCACCTGTTGACTTGCTTCTAACCAAAGGAATGTGGCAAAAGTGATGGTTACATCACTTCCAAGATTAAGTGACAAAAAGACTGTGCAAACTTGCCTTGTTCCCTCTTGCTTGCTCACTCGGATGGAAGCCAGCTTCCATGGGGTGATCTGCCTTAAAGAGTGACCCGTGGGGTGAGGAACTGTGGGTGGCCTCTTACCAACAGCTGGTGAGGGACTGAGGCTCTCAGGCCAACAGCCCGTGAGGACCTGAATCCTGCCAACAACCACACAAGTGAGCTTGCAATAGGATCCTGCCCTGGTTGAGCCTTCAGATGAGACTGCAGCCCTGGCTAACATTTTCACTGCGTCCTGGTGAGAGACCCAGAGGCAGAAGTGCCCAGCTGAGCCATGCCCAGATTCCTGATCCACAGAAACACACGTTTGTTGTTTTAAGCTACTACATTTTGGGGAAATTTGTTATACAAGAATAAATAACTAGCCCAGCGGTCCTGCACCACTGCCCATTCTTTTAACTCTCACGCTATAGAAAATAAAACAATTACCGATTTCATTTTTCTACAGGTTCTGTTTTTTCTATTCATTCTGATCATGTTTATGTTCTTAGTGAGAATGTTGAACAGATTTGTTTTAACATTGTTTTCTGTAGTATATCATTTCTAAGGTGCATCTCAATAGCAGAATAACATGAATCAGAGTATCCCACAAAACTACTGAAACGTCATCCCAATATTTTGTTTTGTAAAAAAAGATTTTGATAAAAAGTCATATAACAGAGTCCAAAAGGAAAATTCCATAATTTGCCAAATAAGTGTGAACGACAGGAGTGAGGCAGCTGCCCACACACCTTACCCAGAGGTGAGCCGGGCCCAAAACAACACAGCCCGGCCCTCTGCCCTTCAACCTTGGCCATCAGAAACAATTACCAATGTCACTAGAAATTTTGTTAGAAAGCTGTGGGACAACAAGGACAAGCAGGGAAAGAGGCCCTTGATCTTCTCAAACTTAATCTTTTGAAAAGTTTATTTCAGAAAACCCCAGTCCTAACACAGTCCTTCTCTGAGATGTCAGCCGACGAGACCAACCAATGCTTATATCCTTCTTCCTGGCAAGCAGTTACTATTGAGCACGCACTATGCACAGGGCACCAAATCACACACTTTACAAACATCATTTTATATCATTCCAATTACTTAATTCTAATTCTACTTGTGAGGTAGGCACTCCCAGAGGAGTTAAGTGACTTGCCAAAATTGTACAGTGAGACAGGAGCAGAACCAGGATCTGTCCCTCAGAACTGTTCAACTCTAAAGGCCACGCCCTCAGACACCACACGACATACCCATTTCATTAAGAGAGCTGCTACATTCAGATCCCTGTACCGGCCAACAAGAGACAGAGAACGAGCTACTACTGTGTTTGTCCAGTTGTCTTTTGCATGTCTAAGTGCATCGTGTTATTCCCAAATTTGCTGTCTTCAAACATGTGGTCAGTTTTCTCTAGCTCTGGAGAATAAAAGCTTATAACTCTGCAATTACTTTGGCCAATTCCTTAAAAAAATTAGCATGTTAATGACACTTTCCTCCCATACACATCAAAATAAACAGCACATTTTAAAAACTAATGGATTTTCAAAACCTGGAAAAACCCAGATGCCCATCAACAAGGAATAAATTGTGGTATATTCATACAATGGAAAGCTACTTAGCAATGAAAAAGAAGCAAAGTACTGATATATATATAACAAATGGATAAATCAAAAATATACATATTATTTGAGAGGAGAGAAGCCAGACACAAAAGGATATAGTATTATTATTATTATTCCATTTACATGAAGTCCAAGAACAGGCAACACTAAGGTGACAGAAATCAGAAAGTGGTTGGAGGGAACTTTCCAGAGTGATAAAAATGTTCCATATTTTGTTTTAGGTGGCAGGTGAACAGTTTACAAAACAGTCAGCAAGGTCAAGGGTTCAGATACCCACACTGGCCAGCCACAAAACAAACAAACAAACAACAAAAAAAAACCCAGAACTCATGAAACTGAACCTTTAATCTTTCAATTACATTTGTGGTTGGTAATTTAGGTAATTTATTTTCTGGGGCATAAAACATACATGTGTAATTTCTTAATTATAAATCAAACACTCCTGTAACCACTACCCAGGGTGTGTCCTTTCTCAATCATCCCCTTCTTCCTCCCACAGGGAACTACTATCCTAATTTTTATAGTATTCTCTTGCTTTCCATTATAGGTATATCACGTATGTATGCACCCCTAACCTAATTAACACACTCGAGCTTTGCCTGTTTTTGAACCTTATATTATAATGGACTCACACTACATGTATTCTTTTATGTCTGATCTCTTTTTCTTAACATTGATTTGCAGGATTCTACTTACACTTATATGTAAGTTTACTCCTTTTCATTGCTGTAAAGTATTGCACAGTGTGAATATACCACATTTATCTATTCCATTGTTAATGGACAGTTGGGTTATTTCCAGTCTGGGAGTCATGCAAATAGTATGAACATTCTTGTACAGTCTCCTGGGGACACACGTGCACTAATTCCTCCACAGTATATTTCTGGAGGTAGAATCACTGGGCCACAGAATATGTGTCTTCAACCTCTGTAGATAATGCCAAATTGTTTCCCAAAACAGTTTTACTGATTTATACGACATGAGGAATGTTAATGAAAAATATCAACCACCTAGATCTTTAAGTACCTACTAAAGTCTTTTGCCCATTTTCTTGCTGGTTTGTAGGAATTTATTATCTATGCACAATGTATGTCTTTTACTGGTTAGGTGTGCAATGGATATCTTCTATTGTATGGTTTATCTTTCTTAATTTCAATCTGGTCAAATTTATCAGTCTTTTCCTTTAGGATTAGTGCATTTTGGTTTTAAGAAACATTTCCCTACACTGAGGTCACAAAGATAACCTATTTTATTTTCCCAAAGCTTTACGGCTATCCTTTCACACTTAGGTCTAATGTAGATACATTTTTTTCTATGAAGTTTATTTTTGTGAAAAAACAGACAAGGAGCTCGTAGCCTCAGTTCCATTATTTAAAAACGATCATCCCCTACTGAACTGCAACGGCTACCTCTGTCCTAAATCAAATGCAGACTTGTTTCTTGGCTCTCTGGTCTGCTTGCCTGGCTCATCTGTCTGTCCCTGGGCATATATCATGTGCTCTTAATTTCCGAAGCTGTAAACTAAGGTGATCTCTGAGAGACATCTCTTCAAGAATGCCCTGGCAATTCTTGGCCTTTTGGATGTCCATGTAAATTTTAGAATTAGTGTTGCATGCTGTGATTTAGATTAGTATAGTACTACTCTACAGATCCATAGGGAGAAAAGTGACATCTTTAAATATTTATCCTCCTAATCTATGAACACGATCTATCTTACCAGTTATTTAATCTTCTCCAATGTATGAAGTTTTATATATTTCCCTACCTGAGTTTTGTATATCTTTTGTTAATTTCTTCCTAGATACCTGATGTTTTTATACTACTGCAAACATATTTTTAAATTTTATTTTCTATTTGCTAGTGACATACACAAATACAACTGATTTTGTGTCTTGATTTTGTTCGTTATTCTGCCTAAACTTATTCATACTCAATTTAGCTGTAGAATCTTTTTATTTTCTATTCAATAAAAATTTCTGTGCGAAATATGCAGTCATATTATCTACATTCCAATGCCAGTTTTACTTCCCCACTTTCCAAACCTTCTACCTTTTATTTATGATTCTTGTCTTACTTCACTGGCTATGAGCTCCAGTACAAAATTGAATAGAATTTGGTCATAATGGGCATTCCTGACTTTTTCTTAAATTTCAATAAGAAAGCTTTCAATATTTCACCATGAAATGTTGTATTTTGCCATAAGTTTTTTGGTAGATACCTTAATTAGATTAATAAAATTCCTTCTATTCCTAATTTGCAAAGTTTTTCTTAAA